CTTTCTTGAAAACTGCCAGATAACAATTCCATTTTCTGCAACTGGCTTCGCAACGATTTTGTGCGTTGCAACTGACGTTATTTAGAACAATGTTTCATGTATTTTCCTGCAACTTTATTTTGACTTTGCCTTGCTGGGTTCAACTAGAAAACACTGTCGTTTATACGTCCAAAGTAAAACCTTTTTTCTTTTGAACAGTCTCGACAGAAGGATGCGACGATCCTCGGGTTGCGCACGGTAACGTTTGCTTCGCTAGTCCTCGCTAACCCGTGTGCACATGGTTGCGACAGTGTTTACCATGTAACCCCCCTTGTGTAAGGGAAACAGTCAATCCACGATAAATGTCCCAACTTCTAAGCATCTACAGCCACACCCTGAAGGACAGACTTCCATTGTCTCAAACCAAGTCATGAGATGATAAGTGTGTCCGCCGTGACCGCACGCTACACAGAAATTGCTGGCTCCTGGTACAATCAAATGAAAAAAGACAACGTTTGTACACACGAAATCAGTTAATCATACCAAATACATAATTCATGAAAGTTGTGGTCTTAAACCCTGAGCTAACACAACTTCGTGGGGAATTTTTAGAGAAAAAGAGGAGTTACATCCGATAAAAGAAAGAAGTTTGGGAATTTACGGAATTATTAACATACATTTTACGTTTATTGGTCTTTAATCAAGTAGCACATTAACGCAACTGGAGCACAACGGAATGAAAGAAAGAAAATATAGTTCACTGGTGGGTCCGAATCTTTACAAATATTCAGTAAAGTTTCGTCACAAATACGAAGATCTTTTCCACTTGTTTTTTAACAACATTTGTAACAGATACAACACCAACAAAAGACCTGAAAGCCGCATGCAGAGCGAGGGTTAGATTGAAATTGAGAGTCTTTTTAGCAAGAAAATAATCCGTGGGCCAACATTGAGATATGAGTGAATGAAATGACATACGACTGAAAACAAATACCCTCTCTATCTGAATTTGTTAAAATTGAGCGCCAAAACGCTTTCGGTGTTTTGGCGCCAAAACTGCGCGACCGCTCTCCTCAGCTCTCCACTGAGAATACACATTTTAGAGAAAAGACGATGTTCCGTTGGCGGTTGAGGTCAAAGAGTATTTGTTTTCGTTCAACTACGTTCCTCTAAGAGTTGACGCGAGGGATAAAGCCTTGGGGATTAGCATCGCACAGAAGAACTCGAGATCAGTTTAGGCACCATGAAATGACTTAAAGTAAGATCTACACAAACCTCGTTTCTCTGCAAGTTACCTCTGACAGCAATATGGCATATAACACACTGAAGTCCCAAAGCTTTACAAGAGTAGCACTGAGCTCCACGAAGCGTATGCGTGCAGTTGTGACAACGAGTGCTGAACTCTATAACAAGGCAAGAATGTTAACGAAAATAATCAGTCGGAACGTTGACAACAACATTAAATAAAACGTTTTACATACCTAGACAATGCAACTCTCAAGCTGCTGTACTGCTAACGGAGTTTTCTTAAAACTTATTAAAATGTACTGCAGACAAAAACTTGCAACCTGAATGACCTTAAACAAAAGCATACCTCACATGACTAAAATCTTTTGCAATGCACTCTACAAAATCAGGCCCTTTTTGCTAGGAGTTTCTCACTTACCCACTCCATTATGCGGTTGTTGAGGCTCACTTAAGAATTTAATCACTTCAGCTCTTTTGCCCAGCAGATTCCAGCGGTACAGAACATCGGCATACTGCTTCATGTAGTGATCATGTAATGGGAGTTTTGAAATATCAACAAATCTGAAAAAGAATCCAAACCATTTTACCGAAGATGCTTAGTTTAAGGAGGTATATCACGATATTTTAAGTTCTTTTTCTGATGTAAAAGAAAAGTAATTTCAAATCTAAATAAGTAAACCTCAAAATAATGTAGAAAAACATAAAAGAGAGAATAATAAACTAGGATGGTTATGACCGCGGAAGATGCAACAAAAGATAAACTTAGAAAATATTGGCCAACTTTTTCAAGATGCGCCGGCGGTTACCTCTGGCCCCCTCTCTGTCAAGCAACGTTGCGTTTCGTGACGCCGTCCGACGAAGCTTAATGAGAAAAGAAGTCTGCGGAATGAAACAAACTACAGTACCGTACTGACAAGAAACAAAACAAGCTTAAGTGATTGTTTTCGTCGTTTTCTGTCGTTCAGACATGCTGGCTCCAATTTCCGTATAATGGCACGACTTTGAAGTAAGAAAAAAAAAAAATGCAGAGAAGGAACTCAGCATGTCAACATCCGCAGTTTTCAACTGTAAATAGAAGTTCAAGTTCGTCTTAAGATCGTGAGAGATGATTGTTTTCCATCACTTAGATT